ATTTCTACTTCCCCTTCGTCAAAGTGTAACAACTAAGTTCCTCTACTATTAGCATGTAGTTCAGTTGCGAGGAGTCGTTGTAGCGAAACCATTTCGGAGCCAAACGGAGTTTAGGAGTTTTTACCTAAAGCTAGGAGTTTAGGAGTTCTCTTCCTCGGAGTTAAGATCCGATGTAAGTTACGCTTGTAATATTCCTCATTTTTATCATTTCTAGTTTCGCCCTATTCGTTTATTCGTAGCCTTTCCGTTTTCTTTACATCGAACTTTCATTTACCTGTTTTATAGTTTTTACCACTTGTGCTGTACAAAGACTGCCAGCTTAAGTGAATAAAGAGTTTGATGCTGCTACTTGTCTAAAGTTCATCACTGTGGTTAAACTGGAAAACTCCGGTGCACAACACCACGTGTCTGCGCCATCGGGAACGCGACAAAAGTTATTCAAGCAGTGGCACACTAAGTTAAGCCATAAAATCCCTATCGAAAATTTAGAAAATTACTCACACATCAGACATCGTGGTGTTGATTCCCCTGAGACTTTCCATTGACATCCACAGCCATGGAACTGTCCCCTGTGATTTTGTAAATTCAGCAAAGAGCACAGCATTCTCAGCGAGACTTTAACTTAAACCCAGGGAAAAAGGGAGGATTTTGGGGGCACATTGTTTCTCAGGGGTAATGGAGGGGGTATGTGTCATCGCCAAAAGAGTAGAAGGGAGTATAAGGGAGGAGGAGCTAAAGAAAATGACTGCCAATTAACTGTTAACGAGGAGGATCATGAGACTATCACAGAGTGTTACGGAGGGAAGGGATAAGTATCGTGACACAACCAAATCCTACCCCCATAGCCTACTGACGAAAATGAAATGACATTTGCGTACCCCTGTGCATTTGATATACTCTCCGTTCTGTGAAATGTCACGTGACAATCCAAAATCTGCTACCTTGGCGACCAGTCCTTTACCAATCAAAATGTTTCGAGCGGCCAGGTCTCTGTGAACACACTAACGTAATAGCAAAATGACGTTAGTGTATTAGTGAAAGATTAGTGAAAGTGTAACTCAGGTGGTAACATAATACTTTGTGCTACTCCCCAAAATATTTCATTTCATTAATGATTTGATTTTTTTTTTAATGTGACATGAATGTCTCCTTATCTTTTAGACTGATTATCATCACATTTTCTCACCAGAATTTATACACGATGGACGAAGAGCTTCCTTCTCGCACAGTGTTCATCAGAGAGCGATGATGTCCTTAGCATTGCCGATTTGTAAAAAAAGGACGGTCCAGTCCTGTCTGTAATCGTAT